GCTAATCTTTCATAGTATACCTGTACTGTAAATTTCATATCAAGTGTAGTACTAAAAGTGAATTTAAAATTTAAATATTACTTTTTAATGACATGTATTGAATGATTTGCAAAATTGTTGTATTGTGTGAAAAGTCTTTAACTATTTGTTAACCCATTAATTATTTAATCACATAAACTGATCCACAAATACCACTGACGTTACGATGCCTGCAGTGCTGTCACGGATGGCGAAAGAACGCGAAGATGAGACAAGTGGTCAGGTATTGACGCCACCATTGAGTGAGTCTAACGATTGGCAACAGAGATCAGAGTTCATGAAGTTTCTGATGGAAGACTTCTTGATCGCAATCATGGATAGCGAGGCCATTGAGGACAAGGAGTGTATGGTTTGCGCGCCCACACGGCGATGGAATATAGACCAATATAAGCGACAATTGAAGGCCCGTTTGCACAACACGTTTCCCAAAGTGGACGACCCGTCGGTACTGACCGACACTACACTTGGTTTGAACACACAGAGCGGTCGGAACCGATATATACGTGTGATGTTTGAATACTCGCTTCAAATCAAACAGTATTTTATGGACCCGTCAGCGAAGGCCGAGTACGAGCTCTTCGACACACTTCGCGAATGTAATGTCCAGTTTCTGAAGGAGGAATGGGTCCGTTTGAATGCACGGTTGTTGGTATGGCTCCAGTACCAGTTCAGACATCTGGATCGCAATGCCTTCTGCAGGTCGCAGGACACTGTAGGACACAAAGGGTCGGACATCGGGCACCTAATGGATCATCTAATGCCCAAAATAATAGACAGAGCGTACAAAGAGTCGCCCCTAACGGTCACCGATGGCTCAATTTACGATATCAATCGCTACAAACGTGATCTGATGGCCGGCTCTCCCACACACTTCCCATGTGTTCATTTGGCCCCCTTTGAAGGCGAGTATCGGGCGTTGAATAGCGCCAAAGGCCGGCGCCGTTACCTCTATATGCTATACCGATATGGCTGTCAAATACAGGCCTTTTTAGATGAATTGGTCAATACTAAGAGCCTTAAGGTATGCAAGTGTTGTCGCGGCAAAGGTGTGGACAAACATCACGACTCACTGCTCGACATATTCAAAGTCTGTCCTCGCGATCGACTCGAGACCGAAAACGATAGATTGGCTGCACTTGTGATGGGATGGCTCACCAATTGGCACAACTATCCCAACTAATTGCCACTAAAACTACACAACTATTATCGCACAATACTATTTATTCTCGAAATACAATTAATTGTTTTACATATTTTAAATTTAATCACTTTTTAACATTTGGTTTATTTTTAATTGTCTATTGATTTTTATTAGAATACTAAAACAAATTTATTAACATGTTTTAAATAGTAAAATCTTATATAATTCTCTCTCTCTCTCTCTCTCTCTCTCTCTCTCTTCGACCCGTTGTTTATGGCTTTTGGACGCCTTCTCCATAATCCTATCGGTCTGTCTCTTAGTCTGCATATCCAAGAACTTCCTCTCAGCCGCAGTCATCCAATTAGACGATCCACTGGTCGTGGCTGACGATGACGGGTGCCCTCCATTGGCGGCCGCGGCGGAGGCCAAGTCGTCGTCCCTCGTCTTGTCGAGCGTTTGCCTGTATTTCTGCAACTCATCACTCGATGGCATTGTCTTAATCTTCTCCTTCTTCCGCTTCTTCTTACTCTTGACGACCATTCCGTCCGATCTCTTCAGCTTCAGTGAGCTCTTCGACACGTAGTCGTAGTCAGACATTGCTTCCCGATATCACCGCTCAATGTCTTCGGCGATTGTCTTGAGGTTTGTGTTTGTGTTGTGTTTTTTTCAATGCTTTTTTGTAAACAAATGAAAATTTACGTAACGTTTAAATGCCATTGAATTTTGAGCCACTATTTGTTAAGACAGTGTAACTGTATATTTGATAACATAGCGTAAATCAATGCATTTTTAACGCATTCATTATTGTGTCAGTTAACTGGTTTATACAAATTAATATCTTATATACATTGTTCATAATTAACGTTCATTTTATATGAATTATTTCCGCATAGCTTTCAATACAAAACACAACAAAAGGGGCGAACAATAAGTGGACGTTATTTACAGCGAAAACACATTTTGAGTCAACAAATAAAAGCAATAATAATTGTTTTTCAACACAAGTTTTGACACCCATTTGAAGGCATCATTAAATGCGGCGGCAATTGATTGTTAACTAGATTTAGTGTGGCATTAGTGGTGTGACCATGGTGATTGCGGTGAAGTACAGAGTGGCCACAATACTATTGCAATGCGCTGTGAATGAGGGCGAGCTGTGCGGCGCGAATGGCCTACCGATGACCCCGTCGTCCATCGCAATGATCGGTAACTTCAAGTCTGTGATCGACGCCAACAATCGGCTCATGAGTTACAATCAGTTCAATAGATATTTGACCAAATATTTGGATTGTATTAGAAATAAGAAGGGTATGTATAGTACCGGTGCACTACCCCTCCCCTCCAGTCCCACCCCCAGTGCCGACCGGTCATTAACCCCCCGCCCGGCCGTAGGTATAGCTGTTGTCCTGTGTTTAAGATTTGGTCAAAAAGTTTTGAAAAGTTTTTTTTAATGTTTTTAATTGTTTTTTGTTTTGTTGTTTCGTTTGCAGAGAAATTGACGTTAATTTTTGAGCACTACTTATCGCCGATACCCGTCGATGACATGGATGTGTTGGCCACCAATACGTTACTCGGTTTATATCACTTGCATTACAATATTGGTTGCGTTCACGGCTTGATTACGCCGGCGGCCATCGTATGCGACGGCCAGCGGACCGTCAAACTGACCCATTGGGCGCTTAACGCCATCACCGATTTGGGCAAACACTGTGACACTAATATGATTATACCATGTATTATATGATAATTTGTTTATTTATTTTTGTTTTTAACATGTTTAGTGAATACCGCGTATAATTAACTGCTAGTTATTGTTGACTATTAATGCAAACTTATTGTAAATGTCTAACACCTGTAGCTTTTGGTTTACCAAATCCGGTGCTTTAAGTGCTTTAAGATTTAGTTTGATTTACTTTATAAACTGTATATATTTGTATGTAATCTGATTTTAATTAAGATTTTTAACCCCGATTTTTATGGTGATTCAGATGACACCCGATTCCTGCCATACGAGCAACTCTTCGGCATAACAGTTGTCAAGAAGTCCGATGTGTGGTCACTGGCGCTCACATTACTGGCGCTCATTCAGCCCAACATTAAACTATCAGACAATCCGTCGGATATAGTGTCGTGTCTTAACTCGAAGGAAGTGCTCATCAAAGTAGAGGCCGATATCACAAAACTGCCACAAAAATGGCAAACGTTTTTCCTTTCAGCCCTACAGCCGAAGCCATCGGCCAGAGGGACAGTGAAGGAGTTGTTGAAGATATTGGACATTCCGGTGCCCGAAACGGATTGTCAGCAGTTGAACGACATGTTACAGTCGCCCAAAATGGACACCGAGTGCTACGACAAGGACCCGATCACAATCCACGAGATCTATCACTTGTATTGTCTCGCATTTCCCACCATTAGAGACCAGTATCAGGAGAAGCGTTACAAAAAGCCGCCGATTCTGACCATACCGTCGCTGGTCTTACGGGACGACAAGAACACCGGCGGCGATACCGTAAAGCCGAAGAGCTTTCTCAAACTGCCGCCAAATAACGAGTTAAAACTGTTGCCGATTGACAAACTGGTCGAACGGCTCAATCAATTGCCGGCCGACGTGTTCTGTCCGCTGGTATTGACGCCCGGCTTCAACGCCGTATGGAATTCGCCGAATCTGCCGATCGGTATTCGGGAAAACGATTTCGACTATCAGTGCGAAAGGATTATGATTTTTAGGCGTCTCATCGAAGGTGCGATTGAATCCAGTGTTTTGTTTATCGACATAAACTAATTGCTTGTGTTGTTTTAGGCGCGCCCTTCACGCGCACACAACTGCTGTCGTGCGCCAAAGTGGACATTCCGCCCCTCTATCGGCCCCAGACGTGGGCACACATACTGAACGTGAAGTGGACGGATCTGTTGGCCTACGAGCGCGTCGACAAACTGACGGCCACTCAAACGGACCGACAGATCAGTGTCGACATTCCCCGGTGTCATCAGTACAACGACCTCTTGGCCTCACCGCAGGGCCACCAGAAGCTGACCCGAGTGCTCAAGGCTTGGCTCAAACACAACGAGACCAAAGGCGACGTGTATTGGCAGGGCTTGGACTCGTTGGCCGCGCCCTTCGTTATCATCAACTTCAACAACGAGTCCCAAGCGTTCGCCTGTTTTAACGCTTTTACCCATAAATATCTGAAAGGTATTGATGTGTGAATTGTGGTTATATTTTGGCCATTAATTACCTTGTTTTGTGTTTTTGTGACCATAAGGTTTTTTCCAACGAGATAACAGCGCTGTGATACAGGAATATTTGGCCCTATTCTCGATCGTGATCAAATTTCACGACCCATCGCTGGCCAACCATCTCAATGGCCTACAGTTTGTGCCCGACCTGTTTGCCATACCCTGGTTTCTCACTATGTTTACACACGTACTGCCATTGCATCAGATCATGCACTTGTGGGACACACTCTTGTTAGGTATTGGGCCCGTCGTGTGCGCCCCTCCCGGTCCTCATGTCTTCATTAAGTTAATTGTTTTTTGTTTCATTTGCAGGCAATGAGTCGTTTCCGTTGTTTATCGGTCTCTCGATATTGAATCAAATGCGGGACCAATTGATGTCCTTTACGTTCAATGACTGTATACTCGTGTTCTCGGATTTGCCGCAAATCGATATCAATAAGTGCGTAAAGTATGCCATCAAACAGTTCTGCGCCACACCTAAGAGTGTCGCTCAACGCGGTCTGTGGCCTCTGGAACAGCTCAAAGCGGACAACTGTCCCCTCATCGACGTGTCCGATGTGGTGGCGTTGGCCACGAAGGGCGACAAATCGTCGGCCAAAGTAGTGATCATTGACTGTCGACCGAAGCATGAGATTCTCAGGTACGGCAAAATACGCGACGCCTGGTATAGGGATGAGTACGACAGCCAATCGGCCGCTTCTTCTGGCCATCACTTGACGGTTGTTGTCAATGATGTGAACAAATGTCTGGAATTGATGGCCAATAATACCATTAGAGTGTGTTTACTTGAATTGTCGGGAAGTGTTCCCAACGAGTTGTTGAGTTCATAGGGAACGGGATTACACTTTCCCGATCGAGGTTTAGGTATTAATTTTTACATTATATTTTTTGTTACAATTATTATTTATATATATTTTTATTGTTTAACTAATTTTAATTATGATTCATATTAAATAAATTATACATGTATTATATTTACATAAATAAAGCATTAAATTTGTGGTTTTTATAAACTCATTATAGATAGTAATCTTGATAAATATCTTATCAGTGTTCAAACTAATTATTAACGCTAATCTTTCATAGTATACCTGTACTGTAAATTTCATATCAAGTGTAGTACTAAAAGTGAATTTAAAATTTAAATATTACTTTTTAATGACATGTATTGAATGATTTGCAAAATTGTTGTATTGTG